GGTTATTTAGGGTTTTTTGTTTGGTTTGCTTTTGTTTGTTTGCTATTGAGTCGTATGAGTTCTTTACATATTTTGGATATTAACTCCTTTCTACATATGATTTGTAAATATTTTCTCCATTCCATAGGTTGCCTTTTCATTTTGTTGATGGTTTCTTTTGCTGTGCAGAAGCTTTTTAGCTTGATATAGTCTCGCTTGTTTTTGCTTTTGCCGCCTTTGTTTTTGATGTCAGTTCCAAAATATTACCACCAAGAGTGATGTCAAAGAGATCATCCCTATGTTTTTTCTATGAATTTTATGGTTTCAGGTCTTATGTTCAAGTCATTAATCCATTTCGAGCTAATTTCTATGTATGATATATGAAAGTAGTCCAGTTTCATTCCTTTGAACATGACTGTCCAGTTTTTCCAACACCACTTATTGAGGAGATTGTCCTTTTCCCATTGTATAGTCTTGGCTCCTTTGTCATAAATTAATTGACCATGTACACATACGTTTATTTCTGGGCTCTCTATTCTGTCCCATTCACTTATGTGTCTGTTAAAGTGCTATATATTTTAATAATTTTATAATGGAAGTACTAGAATACATCCGTAGGAATCAGCTAATAGTTTGATTTCTTGATATTTTACAGTTCCTTGCTAAACTCTCAGCAACTCTGAGACACTATGTATGTGAGGAATTTTATTACATAAGGAAAAGAAAAATTGTGTATTAGAAGACATGTATTTTAGTGAGTTATTTTGAAGGTTTAAGAAAAAGATTTAAATGTCATCCCTTAAGAATCTTTTAATGTGTTCTAGGCAGGTGTTGCTGTTTTACCATCTTTATACACCATTGTATATACCCGAATTCCAGGAATACAGTTAGACAATAGCAATGGTAATCCATTTGCGTTAACAACTTCTTTAGGAAATTCCAGTCATGCCAAGTCATTTTTCCCTCTACCAGGAGAAATATATACATTAATATTTCCAGAATAGTTGACACTTCTGGAATGTTGCTTTTTGGTTCCTGGTGTTGGCAATCTTAAGTAATTTCGACCTAAGTGCCAGCCTACCAAGCAACAGAAAACTCCAGTTCTGGGACATTAGTCATATCTTTTACAAAAACTGCCATTTTCTTTCTTGAAATTAGCACATCCTATCTCCCTGAGGATTGGTAAAGCAAAAAGTCCTTTGGAACTATCCAAGACTAAACAATTTACACACAGAGACACATATACAGTCACACATTCACATACTAGCATCTTCCCTTTCTGGCATAATTTCTGACTTTCAAATTTGCATCCCAAGGCAGAGGTATGTGTAGCTTGAAGAGTCAGCTTTGCGCCGCTCCAAGCATCTCTCCCGCAAAATGCAAACAGAAGTGATTGACAACAACCTCTTAGGACTGATGCTTCCCTTCCAGAACCACGAATCTCCTTTCGCACCCTGCTCTCCCCTCCGCCTCCCCCCGTCCCCCCCATATCCCGGGGCAGTCAGAGGCACCGAAGTCCCCGCCCCCTCTTGCTGCCAAGAGTGGTTCTTAACCTTTTTTGGATCGGGACCTACAGAAAACTACGGACCCTCTCAAGTTGGGATCAGAGGCTGGGGAAAGCACAGCTTGGAAGCTTTGCGAAACTTCCAGGAGACCAAGGACTTGAAACACACCCCAAATTGTAAAATTAAGAACCCCGTCTTGACCCGGGTTGATTAAATCGAGAGCGGAGTTAGGATGCCACATCTCCTTCCTAGTGAGGAACTGTAGAAGGCAAGGCGCTCCTGAACTGGGCCACTTCCACTTGTAAGAAGCCAAAAGAAGGGGATTGACAAGGACAAAAATTCACTGTTGCAAAGAGATGGGGACAGAAGAGAAAAAAGAAAAGGAGAAATACGGGAAATTAGAGAGGTACAGTGAGTGGAGAGGTACAGAACACGGGGACAGGGTCGGGGGCGGGGGGGATGTAAAGGGAGCCCGATTCAAAGCCACACAGAGAAAGGAGGAGAAAAGAGATTCCAACGGGAGAAAGAGCAGAGAGAAGGGAGGAGACGAGAGACAGAGACACAGGAGAGAGAGACCGCGAGCGCCAAGAAAGAGAGAGAACTTTGTGTTCTTCTTCCCCGGGTCAGGGAGTCTCAGAGAAGCTCAGCTCCACCGAGGTCGCCCGGACAGCGAACCGCTGTCCCGGCGCTCCTGGCGCCTCCGGACTCTTGAAGCCTGAGGCCGGCTGGGAGTCCTGCACGGGCCGGCCAAGCTGGGGACGCGGTCTGGAAGGAGGCGGTCCCCGCTCACTTCGGTTTCTCCTCCCCTCTCCTCCTAGAGGCGGGCACCGGGGGTATTTGAGCGGCGGAGGACCCGCGGCCACC